GTTTCGTTTTACAATCTTTGAATATTTATAAAATTTGCTTAATTAATGTGAATTTTAAATCATTTCAAACTTTTTATATTAAAAATTAAATCAGTAAAATTTAAGAATCTTTTGCAGAAAATATTCAGTTAGAAGATTTTAAGTACATTAACAGAATGTCAGATAATAAAAATATAGATTACATATTTATAACCAGTATTAAATTTTAAATATATTCTATTATTATTCACCTATAAAAATAAAATATGTAATATATACTGGTATATATACACATTATACATTTATTCAATACAGCAATAATAATTACCAAAAGTTTTAGTGAAGTTATGAATTTATTTATGAATTAAATAAACAATAACTAAATGACAAATTTATATGTTTATTGCCTTTTTAATAAATTGGGTATAAATAATAATATTTTATTGCATCAAAAATGAAATTTTACCACACCACTATGTCTGGTAAAGTTATATTTTTATCAAAGACAAATTCCATAATAATAATTGACTGACATACAAATAATACAACTAAAAACTTTAGAATAACAACAAATCAATTCTGTAGCAATTTGAAGATAATGACCTCTGAACTTTTCATAAACAAAATATTCTTGCATAATAAATTTTTTACTTTTTTTCCCTTAAATGAATCAAAATTATATACTGTATAAATAAAAATTGTGCTTAATAACAAAAATGAATTGCAAGATTGCACATTTCTTAGTCAGTATTATTCTTGTTTATACATAAAGAAGGTTAAAACTTAACAAAATAATTATTGATAAGAATATTGAAGTAAAAGATTAGCTTAAAACATGAATTAATTAGGAGCAGTACAGTATGTCTTCTAAGTAATAATCATAATTAATATAAAAATTTGTTCTAGTACAGTCTACAGAACTTTAAAATTCCATGAATCAAAAATGCTACTGACTTTGATAATAGTTCTTTTAGTAATTTTGATCAGTGGTGTTACTAGGATTATAGGGAGCAACTACACTAGGTAACAAAAATTTTTGTACAGTGTTTCACAGAAATTTATTACTCTTTATAAAAATATCTCTGTAGTTAGTTATGATAACAAAAACATTTTTTGTAAACCCAGCTTACAATGTATCAAACAATGTACCTAAAATGCTAAAATTTTATGCTAATTTACTTTTTGAACCTTCTAATGCATTCTGGTCAGAGCTGCCATTATTACCAACTTACAATAAAAAATACAAAATATTTTACATTTTGCAAGTATATGATTACCAAAATAAATAAAAATAAATAAATGTATAAATACAGGTAACCTGTTTGATATTGTAATTTAAAGGTATAATTTTAATTTTGCTAGTTTTTTACATTATTGCCATTAAATTCAGTAATAACATTGATAATTACATTTTATTAATAACATTAGTATATACAAAAAACATTACTAAGGACTCTGTATGGTCTTGGTTGGGTATGAAAAGAGATCCCCATGGATGACACTAAGTTACTACACTGGGTGACATCAACCTTAGCGATGGTTTTAATCATATTGTTTAATCAATTTAAGAAAGGTTTCATTTCTGGAAGAAATAGAACTTTGTTCTAATGATCTATACATTAAATGCCTGTTAAAATAATGCTTACCATTCTTTTTATATATTGTATTTTTACCTTTCAAATAGTAGTAAATAACAACATATACTATTAGAACAAAAGTTACACAATTATGAAAGGTACTGTACAAGTAGGACTGATTTATGATATAAATGATTGTTGATGGATGCCACCTCAGTGGGATGGCAAAAATATTTTAACTCGTTAAGTGCCACAATAGAGGGGCATAAAATATCACCCTGGACATCCTCCTTTTTATGGACAAAATAGCACAAATATGATGTCCATTTAATATAATTTTGTATGCAATGTTAAAAAAAATATATTTTTTTTAATTTTTAGATGTGTTGCAAAATCACATGTGGTATGAATGATTTTTTTCTGATTATGTTATGCCATTTTGTACACTAATAATAAGGGTTTGAATTCAAAATAACTTCTACCAGAATTAAGGCTGCATAAATGAACAAATCAGAGAAATAGAATAATCACTAAAATAATACACCTACTGTTATTTTTACTGAAGTTCCTATTACGGCAGTATTCTATTGTAAAAAAATTTACTGGGCTAGTGAAATTTCCAATCCTACAGGCTATGCTCAAACTATTTCCATTATATTATATGGCCAGCATGTTGCTCCAAAGTAACACAACACAAATTTCAATGTATAGTATGTATTGCTTATTTCCAACACACAGTACTTAATGTGTTCCTCCCTCACTATATTCAGCATAACTTGTTTTCATGAACTTTAGAGCTGTAATATACACATTTCCTGCTTCAGAATATTGGCAAAATTAAGACACTACAAATAAAAATAATATCACACAATAAAATAGAGTTTTTATTGTTGACAATGTTTATATGTATTGTTTCTTAAGTGCATAGCATTTTATTTTTAGAATAGATTATGTCAAATGAAATTTTTCTCATATTTTAATAATATGCCATTTTACTATATCCATAAAACCTCTGACTCATTAAACATAAAACCAGCAAACAAACACTCACTTAAAAAGCAAATGTTTTCATCCATTTTTAAATGGACATCAGGCTGGTGTTCTAACATGGATGTCCTTTTAAAAATGGACAAAAACATTTGCTTTTCAAGTATTTGTTTTCCTGGTTATTTTGGTTATTGAGTTAGAAGTTTTATTGATATGAACCAGTAATCTGTTGTTGTCTTTTTATCTATCCATATCTTATTTTTACTTCTCTTAATTCTCTTCAGTTCTCCTTTCTTTTCAAGAAAGAATGATGGCTAACAGAAAATTTTTATCATACTTAAACTTAATTTTTGACTGAAACTAGCCTTGCTTAAAAATGAGATAAAATGCATAATTTATGATAACCAATAGTAGGATAATGGCACCAGTAGTTGACTGTTTAAAGCTGTTTTGGACTTTGATATTTTTTATTATGATATATAGTAATACAAAAAACAAAATTCATATATAAAAATAAAGGTTGTTTCATACTTGTCATGAAAAAGAAAAAATTTTTTATTTGACCTTTCTATACATTATTTAAAAAATAAATAAATCACATGGGCTATTCACCCAGTAGTTGATCAGGAAATTTCCAAGTCCGACCATTGATGATCCAATTGTCAACCACATAAGCCAACTGTAGTGTTTATCGATATAAGTTCATTTGGATAAGTGGGAAAAATTATACATGAACACTTATGTGAATTATGATTTATTTACTTCACAAACATCACATACGAGCTGCATTGTTGCAGCATCATCATAAGGAGTTCCTACTATTGGAGAACATTTCAAATGGTATCACCTGCTGCAATAATCACAGCAAACATTTTTTAGTTCATCCATTTCTATGTCACTACCTAAATCATCAGCACAACTTGCACACGTTTGCTTCTCAGTGATCCCAACTTCATTTGTATTTAGTGATGCAAGAATTTTTCTGCTTTTTCCCTTCTGTCACTACATTTCCTGGAAGATCTTCCAGATTTTTTTCTTCAGTCTTTCCATTTTCTTCCATTCTTTTTCCTCTGTTTTGCTTGCTTTTTCCTTTTCTAATATGAACTCTCTCCATGACTTGAAGCAATAAGACTTGGTGGACATTCTTTTTGTTCATGTTGCTTTTTTGGAGCAATTGGTTGTGGCCAATACAAATGATGAAGAAAGCCAGGAAACACATTTCCATGTGATGATGTATATGGAACTGCTGGTGATGGATTTGAATGGGACTAGTTTGTTTCAGAATTTTCAGAACTTAATGCAGCTCTGATAGACGTTTTTTGGCTACTAATAACAAAAAGAGCACCAGAAAGTGCTTTCTCTGTATACTGGTGTATTTTGCATTTTTGGACTTGGAAATACCCTGGAATAACAGGCATAGGAAACTTGGCATATGACAGTGGTTGATTACTGGTTAATCTGCATCATTAGTCAACCAGTGTAGTTTCAAAATTGTTTATGATGATCAACAACTGGGTTTTCCTTCATCCAGAGTCTCACAAATGTGAAAGGGATAACTGACATGTGAATTTTCAGTCATGGACACATCACAAAAAAAAAAAGTCACAAACACCAGTACTCAACCACCACAATCAAACATGCAAATTTACAGAGTCAGTATACCCAGTTGTCAACAACCTCATTACTTACATATTAGATCAGAATTGACTAAAATTGTTAGCTATGGCAGATGCCTTGATAGTTTACCAGAAAAACAATTAAGTGAGCTCAATAATAGGCATTTTGTAAAAATACACATCTGAAACACAGAACCTTTGTTGTCTTTAAAGACCCAGCAATACCTTACATAGTCAAGTACCAGAAGATACATTGCACAATAATTTTTCCCATCTCTGTGAGTGAGGCAACCTGTTATTCTTATGTGCCATTGAGAACAGGATCATATTATGATGCTTCCTGTAAAGATAGCTTGCCTAAACCTGTTCAGATGGACTAATTACACACAGATTATAGTTTATACGGTTGACAACTGGAAGCAGTCGGCAACAGGAGCCCTACCCTACCTATCAAAAGTCAAATAATCAAAGAACAATTTCAAGTAATTACACAATATTAAGCATAAACTGATAAAGAATAAATTAAACAGATAGAAACCTCAATAAAAACTTTTTTAAGCAATTCCATCCTCATCTAATATATTAATCATTTCAAATAAAATACAAGTAAACATCAGAGCAATAAATCACATATATATTAATCATAGAAAATTCAACAGATTAGTTATGTAAGGATATTTAAATCTCTCACTACATCATTTTTATCACCACATTTTTTTCATTAGAATAAGAAATTCTTGAAAAAATATCTTAAAATTATATCAAATGCAATATAATCAATTTTGACAGTGTCATTAAAAAATATATTTAAAGTATAAAATGAAGCAATTGCAATTCCTACCTATTTATTTCTTCGTGAGTAATTTTAACTTTATCCCATGAAAATAAGCAGGCACCTAATAACATCCCAACTGGCTTCTTCTTATCAAAACGTAATTGTTTAACAATTTTCGTTACAAAACGATGAAAACTCTTTTCGTTGTAAAGTTTAGTATATAAATACCAAATCTGAGACGTTCTTCTCAGTCTTTGAGATGCATAAAAATTACATTGTTTCGTTAATATTTCACCTAATATGATTAATTTGTTATTTATCTGGCACCATAATTCTTTTCTGAATACAGTCGATTTTTCGTGGTTCCATCGCTGAATCCACGGCCTCCAACCACATCTATCACCCGTCAAATACTTGTTAGAACGTAATCGACAGGCAAATGACATAAAAGCATGACTTCCTGACATTGATTCAGTATCTTTTACCAATTTTGATAATCGGCTTTAAATATTTAATACTATGCTAACACAATTTACCTCTAAAAAGAACATTCAACGAATGTTTACTAGAATATCAACATCTAGTGTACCACGCTGATCTAACGTATAGTGTTGCCAGATTAAAAAAATTATTTTTTTAGGAATTCTACATGACGTCATTTTAAAAAAATATTATAGAATTATTATATTATATATATATTGCTGAATAATTAATTCACTTTATATTTTCAAAAAAGTCAATAAATTATTCTAAAACAACGATTTAATTTAAATATGAAATTATTCTAAAATGTACTCGTTAAAGAATATAAATACGTCTCGCGATATTCCTAGCGAAATGGCTGTAATTGCAGCGGAAAAAAGTCGTTTATTCGAAGAAGGATCGAAAATATTTGAGGATTTAGAAACTGAAAATGGAGAAGAAAAAAGCCTAAGTGATGCTGAAGATTGGTTGAATGTTTCTGAAGGACTCGATGTTGAAGACAAATCGGAAGAACATGTCGGATCTGATTTAAGTGAGATTGAAGAACTTTCAGATGCAGAAAGTGAAGAGATTTTGCAAAAAGTAAAATCTTTATCACTTGATATCAAACTTAATTCAGGCAAATATATATCTTTTCTTTTATTTTAAGCATAAAATTATAATATAATTTCATTTTAACACTAAATGCTTTGCGTATTATAGCTAAGACAGTTTATCAAATATCAGAGAATGAAACGTACGCTAAAATATGCAGTCGGCTGAAGATTATTCCGATGTCTGATTACAAAAAACAAATGATGTCAGAAGTGTTTGATGCCAGTTATAGAGCATTAAGTTCTAAAAGCGTTTTTGCACTTGTACATGCTTTGCAAGTAAGTTAACAGTAAGGAACAATATTAATAAAAAATTATGAAACATTGCCTGAATGACATAGTAAACCTTCACTACAAACAAATACAGTCACTGTGAGAGTTTTTCTACAAAAAACAAGAAACATCATAGTTACATCAAGCAGTAACTCTAGCCAAATCAAATACCATATATTACACTATTAAACTTACACTCACATCATACAGACTTGACACAACATATAGAAAGCATAGATACCATCAAGCAATCGTGGGCTCAAAAAGCACTCCACGGTAGGCATCCTTATGACTGGCCCAAGATTTTGTTGACAAAACTACGTCAAACAGCTGTTTAGATCGAGGATGCCTCTTTGGAGAGACGGAAGGATTTATGATTGCCATACAGAATCAGGTCATAAATACTAAAAACTACAGAAAACACGTACTCAAAGATACAACACTCACAAATGACACATGCAGAAAATGTCACATCATGCCAGAAACTATACAACACATCACTTCTGGTTGCAAGCTCTTGGCACAGACAGATTACTTACATAGACACAATCAAGTAGCAAATATAATACACCAAGAGCTTGCAAAGAAATGTGAGGATCCGAATTCGGTCTTTCCGTGTGTTTATTTCGTTACATCATAATTTCACATCATAGCTATACTTTCGTTCAATAACTGTCAACTTTTACACCTGGGAGCTAAACATCTGTTAAGTTCTCAGGCCTAATAACAACGCTTTCTCATCACCTTTCGACCTAATATCTCCGTTTTAACAATACAACATTATAACAGAACAACAAAGTGACGCAGTCGTCGCCCCATCCTCGAAGAGATTAGTCTCAAGTTCCGTATCTTTTTCCATGTGCGTTGTGCTTTTCACTGGACCATCGGACTTATTTAAGTGCCTATTCTCTGGATTAACTTCGACCCAACTGCCTAACTGGACTAACTTCGTTGTCACGACCTACTAGCAACTCACTAAAACTCACGGTATTTATCGCCACGCGCAACCTTCTCTCTTGAGAACCGCGGAACTGTAACAGAAAGCTTAAATCCAATTTAATGTCTATTTTATATCAATTGTAGCACAGATTTCTAAAAACTAACGAGTCAAAATCGATATATTTTATATCCTGTATGGCCTATAGTTACGAATTAAACCGTTGTTAAGTTAAAGCGTTTCTGAGTAAGTCACTTCCGGTGCACTGTCTCACCCTCCATCCCGAATTGGATCGCTCACTCACATACGCGACCGCTCACACATGCTGAATGAAACAGATTCTGTGTCTAGCCGTGAAGACACAGTGGTGTCAGTCCTGACGTAATTGTTATTGCAATCTTAGCCGACGCGATGTCGACCCCTTGGTCATGTGGTGCCGAAGAATAGGGAGGCCCTTCGGCATTGTCACAGAAACACAAATTGGTAGACATCCACAAACTATACTACAAGTATATTTCACAAACAGTATTGGAAAACAACATGCACAAAATGTACTACGACAGAGCCATAATCACAGATAAAACAATTTACCACAACAGACCAGACATCACACTCATCGACAAACACAATAAAATCACATACATTATAGACACAGCCATTCCAAACACTCACAAAACACATGCAATGAAAAAATTAACAAGTACACAGAACTCGCCCAGGAAATAAGGCATCTGTGGAGGATAGATAGTGTTCTTATTGTACCTGTTGTTCTCTCCTGTACAGGTGTGATACCACACACACTACACTAAAGCCTGGGAACATTACAATTGAATAGAAATACATACATCACACTACAGAAGGCCACTATATTGAATACATGCCATATTGTAAGGAAATTCCTGAACAGTGACACACTTATTTAATTTTAGTTTTTGGTTGCTATGCCTTGACTCTGGTCCGGCATAGTACACAGCCACCGGTATCAACCGAGTATAACCCACTAAATACTGTATAATAATAAACGCAGAACCCAAACAGTTATGAGTTGAAAGTTGAAATTTGGTACACAGTTAAGGTACGTCATGAGAATGCACACTAATAAGAAGGGATTTTTGGAAAAGAGAAAAAGGAGAGAGTTAAGGATTACCCTGAAGAACTCGCTTCTACTGTACTATTTTAGATGCGGCTTTTTGCGATTTTGCGGAAAATCAAACATATTTTTAAACCCAATTAGCCTCGGTAATTCTTGCACCCGATGAAAATGGGTAAGATCGGCTATGTAAGATAACCTCTGTAGTTATATAAACCAAATTCTATAATATAATACAGTAGAAGGGTTAGAAGTACGAAATTACCTAATTTTAACGTTTGTTCTTATTTTTGCCCGGGCAACGCCGGCTTACCTACTAGTTACTGAAAAATAAAATAAAATAAAAGCTTTATCGATGGTACAAAACTTGTACTAAATAATTTAATTCAAGCACAAACATTTGCGTTTAAAACAACTCTTTCAAGCTCATAAAAAAAAGAAAAGAAAAAGCTTTAGAACACTGGAATATGCTATTCAAATTCTAAATTTTTCAAATATAATTGCATATATATATAAACATAATAGTTCTGTAGTATTTCCATAATAATAATGATCTGATTTTAGTTGTGTATCACTCCATCACTATAGTTTAAAAATTCAAATACTACATCACATGACGTCATTTAATGCTTTTTATTGGAAATTTTAAATTGATTACGACAGTTTTCATTAAACGTACCTTATACTTTTCTAATACGGCAAAGTTTCTACGTAAGTGATGTTTACAGTAGACCGCCCTATAACACTGTTGATAATTCCGTGTTATATGAATTCCGTGTTGTACGATTTACTTAGATTTTACAAATACGTGTACCGGTCTGTGAACGGCTCACGTATTTGTAAAATCTAAGTGACTCGTACAACTTGGAATTCATATAACACGGAATTATCAACAGTGTTATAGGGAGTCTACTGTATTTCATAATGAATACAGAACTATTTTTCCTCATGTAAGTAAATAAATAATCATCTGTTCAGCTGTTCTATTCTTAAAAGTTCTTTTAATCTGAGAAAGATTAATTACTATGCCTTTGTGTCCTATATCTTAATTTTATATTTATCTTATATACTAGTACTTTATCAATTAACAGGACTTGTTATACTAGATTTATGGATGCAGAAATTTAGTCTTACAGATCAGAAATACTACTGTATTTTTTATTTAGTTCACCTGTAAAAAAATGAGAAAGATTAGTTTGAGTCATACCTCACAAAAATATAAAGAAATTGAAATTAAAACTTAATTTTAAAACTTCGCTGCTCATCAACGCAAGAAAAGGCTGAACGAAGAAATTAATTTGCTAACAAACCTGAATTTAAAATCTGAATATTTTTTCGGATTTTAAATAAAAACGATTAAAAATATTTCCGCAAAGAGAGCGCAGTTTTTTTTCCGAATTGTCCTCTGTTGAAGTAGTCATGGACGATTTCGAAGATTTTTTGTTTTACTATAATTTTCCTTGTGTTTAAAATAAAAGCGTTTTGTCTCCATTGCATCGATATATATATATATTGAACTACTCTTTCAGCCCTGTGGGCACTTAAGAGGACTCTTTTAATCAAGCCCATGGTGGGTTTGGTCAGACCCACAATGGGGCAGCCAGGTGATTAGGGAAGACGCCCGATATATTTGAGATGGACCGTCTTCCGAAAAACTCCTGGGCGTTTTCGACTCGTCTGGATTCGTTTCTAGGTCCCCAGGCTATCTCGCTCGGTCATCCGGCCTTCGTTGGGATATTCATGACATTGCCCGAGTGTAATAAAATTTCAATGTATTCTATTTTAAATACTGTATTAGCATTTTTCAGTCCGATCGTAAACTGTACCTCGTTGTAATCAGAGATAAATCTTTAAACAATTATTAGATTTAAAAATAAGGCTTGTCTACCGCTGTGGAGGATGTAAATTCGAAAAATCCTGGAAACTCCAGACTGAAGTTCTCCATCACGAAACGTTAAGCTCTTTTTCGTGTCCTTGATGGAGACCACCGGAAAGTGAGGATGAGCCCGACATATTCTGTCAGATCACTCTTAAAAAACTTTCAAGTGATCTGAATCGATTTGGGCATATAAAGGATGGATTGTAAGGATAAATTGTAGCACTAACTTTTTCCTGGTACGGTTTCTGGTCTCATCCGTGCTGGCCTGCCAGTATTGAGCATAACTGTGATCGATTTTTTAAGTGTAATTGCTTCTCATTAAATAATCAATGGTAATTTTTTTGATTCTGATGAAACCGTGTTGTTGTTATTAAGCTGTTTCTTTGCAGACACACTAAGGTGACATATATCAACACTTGGCAACTTATTGACTATTTATTCAGTTGGGACGCCTTTTACATTACGCGTTTCGGGCATTGGCCCCTCTTCAGCCAACTAGACATAAAAAATAAAACATGAGAAAATTTGTACAAAAATACGCGAGTAGATAAACTGTTTTTTTAAAAAAATTTTTTAAAAACATACCATAAAACACAAACCACTATTGTACAGATGTCGAACAGGATGGACAATTTCATATTTCATATACAACTTGGATAACAAACAAGGTCGACGATAATCATTGGAGAACAAACAGGGTCGTAGATAGCAGCTTGACTACTGGGCTTTTAAATATGGCTTTCTTATAATTTACACAAAATTCAAATAAATAGATTGACAATTACAACATATCTTAACAATATTTGTTTTTACCTGTGGTTGATATTCGCATATTACACCGAAATTCATTC